TTATGACGTAGGCATCTCCAAGTAAGGATTTTGATCATTTCCAACTCCAATGGGATAATGTAGGGGATGAAAGTTTGTATGAGGCTTTGTCAGTTTTACACAGATCGGGTTGAAATTCGGCGTGCAGGTAGATATTATGACGTACACGTCCCTTTAGAAAGGTTTTTGAACATTTCCACCCCAAAGTGGGTAATATAGAGGGTGAAAGTTTGTGTGATACTTTGCCAGTTTTAAACCGATCGGGCTGAGACTTTGCATGCATAAAGTTACTATGACATAGGTATCTCCTTAGAAAGGATTTTGATGAATTCCACCCCTAAGGGGATAAAATAGGGAATGATAGTTGGTGTGAAATTGGGAATGAAAATTGAATCTAGAATCATTGAATCTTTTTGAATTAGACACATTCGGTAAAACGATGATTTGGGACCTGAGTAACGTATGATAGTTTTTATCTCAGAAGTCCCTCGGGAACGGGAACTATGCGTCAATGCTCCAGGACTCTATTTTTTAACCACTGAATTTATTTCATAGAGATTCTGTACAACAATAGTCAAAGTTTTTATTACTCAAATTTACGTGATCGGGCCGAGACTGGTAAGAACCCTGCGGGATTTTTAATTTATTGAAATTACGATAAATCATTTCACAATAAGTAAATCTTAATTAGGCACTGAATTGATTCTGATGAATTCTGTCAGAAGTCATTAATCTACGCGGACGAAGTCGCGGGCAACAGCTAGTTGTTCTATAATTGTGTCTACAAAACCGGTACTCGACGAGTTAAGCTATAGACAGACATGTTCATTTTTTGTAATATTGCTTGTCTTAAGATTGACGGCGATTTTGCCGTCGTAGATAAAAAGTATGTAGTTAAAAGAGCTATAGTTAGGTTTATCTTCGTGTCGGTGAAACATTTAGTACGTGAGAAGGGCTGCCGTCGAAAGTGACGCACATGAAAGGTTCAGTCGGCGAAATATCTTTAGGTGAAAGATCCTGCTGGGGAAACGGAAACAAATGAATCATCCTGTCGATGAACAGTCCAGTGGCGAATCGGTCGTAGGAGAACGGTTGCTGAATCCTGTCACAAAATGTTTGAATTACGTAGGTATGTAAAAATTTTCGAAAAACGGAAGGAATGATGTATTGGCAACAATGTACCATGAATTAGGTTCTGCAACGTTGCATTGGTGCAACGTAAGCCAGTCACGGGCTTGTCGGGTTGCGAGCGGGTCGCATTTGTATTTAACGTAAGTTTACTAAAATATAAGTTTTAGTGGAATATTGACTGCATTAATTTACAACCCACCTACGTGCCTCAACACTACCATCAACCTGCCTGATAGATAGAAATCAAATTATTTATGAGGAAATTTTTAAGGGGGAAAATAATCGAATGGCTTCTCCCGCCTGGGTGAGGTGGGTAGGGAGGGCGTCCTTAGTTCACTATAGTTTGTATCTCACTTGTATCTAGTGCTCTAGAAAGAAACTCTAGAAGAAACCAACAAAATAATTAATTTTGTTGGGTTATGTGTCACTGCCTCGTTGGCTAAGTGGTCACAAGTGCGACTCCCGGGCAAGAGATCTCGGATTCGATTCCCAGGTCAAAAAAAAACTTAGTAGTAGCACGAAGTGTGAAATTGTGTCCAGTCATAACATAAAAATAGTGAAAAGTCAGTGTTACATTGTACAGTGGCATTAAGTGCCCTAATGTGCTCTGCTTACCCCTTCGGGGATAAAAAGCGTGATGGTATGTTATGTTATGTTATGATGTTACATATGTCTGTGTGTCCCCACGAAACTATAACATAAAACTATTGAACGAAATGAAACTGAAATACATGATAGAACATCTATTAAGGTGATTGACGAAATAACTGAATTTCAATTAATAAATAGCACGATTTTCAGTTAATTGAAAACATAATAGACTTGAGTTATGACTAATCAATACATAGTATAAAACAAAGTCGCTTTCGCTGTATGTCCGTATGTATGCTTAGATCTTTAAAACTACGCAACGGATTTTGATGCGGTTTTTTTTAATAGATAGAGTGATTCTTAAGGAAGGTTTGTATGTATAATACATGCATATTGCACCCGTGCGAAGCCGGGGCGGGTCGCTAGTGAGGTAATAAAAAATAAAAATAATTTATTATAAAAATTCTTCCTACACTCTCATCACAGGATTTTCCCAATTCGACAGTGAGGCTTAATCTAGTTAAAAAAATAATAAAAATAAACATACTTAAATTACTAAAAAGAATTTATACAACGAGAACAAAAACAAAATAAAGAAGGCCTAACAATATTATGTATATGTATACACATTACATCTAACCTATTGAAACAAGTGAAACAAGTTAATTTATTTTCTGCAAATAGGCTACAAGGCAGCACTTTTACACGTCAATTTTATCAAGCGAACGATGAGGTCGACATTTCCTAACTGACTACTCTGAGTAGAAATGCCGAAACAAACTCAGAGGTCTGTCTCTTTTAAAGTCCAGACATTATGTACCTATAACAGATTATGTGCGAGAACCGTGCAAGTTCTTTCTGTAGTGGCCTTTTGAAGAAAGAACCACAACAGCTTGAGCGGACCCGTTTTGAAGGCAGTACCTACGTATGTGTCGGTTTACAGTCAGCTCAATTAACAGGCGAGGCTGACTGATTCGACGAACAATACCAACCTAAAGAACATTTGCGTAGGCCGCACAAATACACAAACTATCTGAATATGGGTAATTAGAAAATAAATGGTGAGGCAAAGTCTCGCACGGTCCTAGCACTAACAATGAAATGACTTATCTTACATAATAACTAAAACTAACCTAAACGTACATAAACTAAAATACAGTAGTAAGAACTATTCACTATCATAACTTAAAATAAATAATAGTACTTTTGTGAATTCACTAGAAGGAGTCGTAAATATATCAATACGATCGTGGAGCTTATAAATGGTATGGATCCCGCGAGTCAGTGGTGCTTTAGCGAGAAGGTTGGTCCTCGCCGCTGGCACTGCCAATATTGGCGGATGTCGCCGTCTCCACACGTAGCGGTCCGGTACAGAAACACTCAGATGACGCAGTACTCCCGGGTTATGTTCAGACCACGGAGCAACACCAAATAGGCAACTAAGGCAAATTTCCGAATAAAAAATGTTTAATGTGACAAAGCATGGCATATGGCATAGAACTAGATATCCCACAGACAAAACAGCGTTCAACAGATCATCAAAGGAGCTGAAAGATCTTATCAAAAATTTTACCAATGACAATCTCCAGGCTTTTCTCTCCAATTAACTCCCAAGTTTGGATACCAATTATTCTTTGTGGAAAGCAACCCCCCCCCCCCCCGCCAATCATGAAAAGTGATTGAGGCTGGGCAAGATCTGATAAAGAGAAGGATGCAATCATTGCGGAACATCTAAGCAAAGTATTTCAACCAGTCAATAATCACAATAGTTAGCATTGAACCGTCACGCCGTATTTGAACCGAATCTGTTTAATCGTATTGTGTAAAGTACTGAGGATAGGTTGTAAGTCAGTATTCCAACCACGTTGGAGTCCCTGCTGTAGAACGGAAGTCAACAGTACCGTACACGCATGATCATCTAATTCTGGCCTTGCATTAGATCCAACGTTATCCGATGCCTGCGCTCTCTCAGTCATTGATAAACAAATACTCAGTGCATTTCTGTTGAACACTGCTAATAATAAACGTCTTGCTAATGATTTGCAATCTTTTGATACACTCTGACTGTATTTAAGGTCTCCGTAGCTGACGTATATACCACTTTGAGGGATAAGTTCTACGAGTCCTGGCAGATTTGTTCGATACTTCAATGTCCATTTTGTATCGCGAGGATCGTATTCCGGTGGTAAAACAAGACGCCATGATTTGTGCTTTGTTTTCGGCGTTCTGTTAGCATCGCCGTGACTTTGTTGATTCTGAGTACTAGAACTAGTACTCGCTGTAACTTCAATGTGTCTTTCTTCAGGGAACTGTGAAGCTACTTCTGTTCGGTTGTTTAAAGAAGATGAATTGCGAGGTAAATTTCGGCTTGAGTTGAATTCTTCGACTGCACCCAATAATTCTTTGTATGTGGCGGCAATATCGTGGATCGAACTTCGTAGGGTGTTGTACATGTCACATGTATATCGCAACGTAGACCCCATTTGAGTGAAGAGGATAGCGAAGTTGTCCAACATTTGCTGCTCCAAAACAATCCTAGACTGTTGCGTCTTGTGGTTCGTAGAGTTTTGTACATCTATCGATCTGCCTGCAGAGCTACTTCCAGAAGTGATTCCAGTGCTGCAAAAGTAATTTGTTCTTTCAGTAGGTGCTTCATCTGCAGACATATCGTCATCAGTGGTTACTTCATGATCAGTAGTATCGGAATCTGAATTTGCTCCATGATGCGCCGACGGAGTTTCTTCTTCCATCCTTTCATTTTCTTGCAACGTATTACCTACTTCGCTTAGATGGTTTTGATTGACAGGTGCACGTTCACTATGATTTACCTGAGTAGTTAATAATGCTTGTCGTACCGAATTTAGAACCTTTGTAAGAATAAGTGACAACCTTTCTCCGGTGACTTGAAGGGTAGGTGTTTGTCGGTTGTTTTTTGGTACTATTCTAGGTACGTCATTAATTCCTTGAGAGTTTTGTTGCTCTTGTATTAGTAACGATTCTTGAAGGTTTTCATCGTTCTGCTGAGAGGAGCTCGATGTACCATGAGTATCATTAACAGCTGTTTCTGTTTCAGTAGTTTCTATTGGCTGATTGTCTTGGGTAATAATTGATTGTTCCTGTCTTGAAGATCCAGACTCTGCATTAGTATCGGCAACAATATTGCTTGTTGATTGAGCGGCGTCATCCAGTTTCAGCCGTTTCCCATCAAGTTGTTTGTTCGGTTCTGATTGTGATGGTCGCTTGATTAATGTTCTAGGCAGTGGTTTCCGAGGATTATCATTTAATTTCGACGAATGGTTTCGGTTGGCAGCCCGCAATTTCTTGTTTAACGAGAATCTTGGTTTTATATCTGGAAATATAAAGGTTGATTATTATTTGGAAGGCTTGAAATGTAAGTGGTTTCTTAGAATAAATTTGTTAATGAAAATTCGATCGTTAAGACTAATGAAGTGATATAATTCTCACCTGTTGCTTTTAATTCTCCTTTTACTGAAGGTCTATCATTAATTTTCGTCGCAATCCATAATTCTGCATCTTCGAATGTATCTGAAAAACCAAAAAAATATTAAGTACTTTCTCTCCATTTCTGAGATGATCTAGATCCAAATATACTTCGACAGTACTAGGCACAACCAATTCACAAATACATTGATTCAAACTCACTTGTTTCATATTTTACGACACTCATATAAAATTTCCAGTCATGATTGCATTTCTCCTTGTTCTTGACACGTTCTCTGGTAACAAAGGGATCTTCCTTATTGGGGTACGCAACAACGGACTTATCCTTTGACAGGTTAGTCAAAATCAACCAAGTGCGTGGCACGCATACGTAATCATCAATAGCTTCAAAAGGCAATTCTAGGAATTGAACAACGCAAAATGCTGGCAGATTGATGTTACTCCTACGAATCATCTGAAACAAGGGAAAACCTGTTCTGAAATATCAACTCATTCAATATTATAATAATTTTTAATAATAATAATTTATTTCATCAACTATTATGTACATACCAACAAAATATTAGGAAAAAAACCTGATAAGCAAGAAAATGCTTGTGGTAGGCGATCCTACTATACCAAGGACATCAGCTAAACATAAGTTTATAAAAATAAATAAAAAGAAAGAAATTTAGAATTAAACAATTATAAACTGGAAATTAAAGGGAATAAGTAATGTGAAATTAGAATACATTAGTTCGCACACTGAGTGTATGTAATGTATGAAGGAATGTGTGTTGTTATGTTATGTTATGAATGTTTGATCTGTGTATTAGTGTTGTGCTCGTGTATATGTGAATGTATGTGTAGTGTTGTTTAGTTTCTTTTTATCTACGTGAACGTACACAGGACGGATTCAAATACATCGTAATTCTTATTGGTCAGCCATTGAAGTAATGCTTTTTTACATTTATGTGAATTCATAGAATATATGTTAATTTCTTTATTTAATATGTTATATATATGGATGATTGTTTGGTGTACTGTATCGTAGCAAATGCAGTTTTCACTGGGAGTTCTGGAGCGACATTATTTATTCTCCTTGTTTTTGTTCTTCTAGGGTAAAAAGGAAGGGATTTATGTTTTTTCAAGGCGATTTGTAGTATGTATAGCTTCCGGACAGATAGAAGATTCGACGTTAAGTAGGTAAAGGCTTTCGGTTGAGAATCTCATTGGTTTGCAGTATATGACTTTCAGAAGTGCTCTCTGTACTCTTTCCAATTCTAAAAACTTTGTTTTGGTTGCGCCACCCCAAATTGGCAAACAGTACATTATTACCGACTGGCCCAAGGATATATAAATCTGTCTAATAAGCTCTTTCGTGGCCACGTAGCGGAGTGATTTGAAAGACCATATCAGTTTCCTTACCCTACTCATTATGAGTTCTATATGCAAGTGCCAAGACAGTCTTTGGTCGATTATAATACCAAGGTATTTAGTATGATTGACTTTGGTAATTTTAAGACAATGACAAATGTTATTGGTAGCATCTGAACACGTATGGATTTTAATCTGAAAATCATGTGTGATGGCTGGGAACGATTCGACAAAGAGAAACAGATGTAATTAGTCTTTGATATATTTAAAGTTAAAAGGTTCATCTCAAGCCAGGAAGCTATCTCAGACAAACCACTATATATATATTGTTAGGGATGACCAATACTCCATCTTGAACTTACTATAAAAAGCGCGGGACAACCCGCACTCGGCCATTTTTGGTCAGCTGTCATTCGGAGCGGGAAAATCGGTCAAATTCTGTGAGACTTATGCCGGAATACTGAAACGTTACTCAATTTTAAGTCGTGCTCAAATATCGTGCCATCTCTGTCATTTTACAAAGAATTTGTAGAGATAGAACTATACTTAAGCACGACTTAAAATTGAGTAGCGTTTCAGTATTTCGACATTATATTTTTCATTTTTAATTACCTATCTAAATTCTCAATGCTATTATTTTCATATTAAGTTATTGTTATTTTGTTCCTATTTAAATAAACATCGGTTGACAAGTTTAATTTGAAATTGTATTCGCGTAATCTAATAAAATGTAACTACATCCCATATTGTTTTTTTTTAAATCTTCTGATCGTTAAAAATATAGGTATTATCAAAACAACACAAGTCGCGTGACGACAGGGTGATTACTTGCCGGCACATGACACGTAATCACCCTGTCGGGCCTCATCCGTTCGCAGGCCGGCCGCGTCTTGTTTTCCTTTTATTATTCTGTGACCTCATTAGTATATAATTCAATGCAAATTAATTTTACAACTTAGTAGTTTTAATGCTTGTATGTCTTTTATATATACATTCCAAATGTTTCTTTTTCCCTTTGGTAGGTATTAAATTAGCCAATAGGGTAGTTGCCCAAATTTTATTTTAATGTCCGTCTGGTAGATTAATTTAAAACATTAGACACGTATTTTTTCTTTTCTCACAAAATTAAGTACTTTCGACGATGTATTAATCTGAAATATCGTATGACAACCCCCACTCCTAAACTTAATTCTATTTGATCTAAGTATTGTTATTTTATATGAAAAAATATATAATACGTGTCTAATATTTTTTCATTACCTAACTGACGGACTAATTAGATTTTTAATTTTCATTCCCTGACAACTACCCTATTTCTTATACTTCTTACTCACGCACAGTCTTCGAAAAGATAAGTTGTATCAATTTGAAGGTACAATTATGAAGAGGTGTGCGCAGGTGTGCATGCCGTTTTTGATAAAATACGGTGATCCTATACGTGTAAAAACGTACAAAGATGCTGGTACGATTATGATTGGTTACCTATCGTTCAATCTTGTACCTACTCATCCACAAAACATGGGCGCTTTAGTCACAGTACAAGTATATAAATAACTCATGTTATCGTCTTTGAGCCTTACTATTCATATGAGAGGGACATTTGCTGTATAATTTATAGGACCGAGCTGAACCTTTGCTACTGTATTGACGCGCCAAAAACGAATTGGTAAAGCAAATCCTTCTCAGCTTAGTCAGATAAACAGTTTCTATTCATTGTTAATGTTAATGTATGTAATTATAAGCATCATAATAATTTGTAACGACATTACTGGGTCTCGGGTTCGATTCCCAGGTCGGGTAAAGTATAATTGGGTTTTTCAAAAAAATCTCAGTAGTAAGCATGACAATAAGCTCACCTCCTATTACATGGGACTTATAAGATAAGTAGTAAAAAGTGGGTGTTACATTGTACAGTGGCATAATGTGCACCTCTGCCTATCTTTTCGGGGATGAAAGCCGTGATGTTATGAAATTTTGAAACAAAATAAATTATGAAACAGATTCAATAAAGTATAACACTCTGTGGAAGCAACGTACCTTGATCTCAGAAGAGCTTGCGTACGTTACGGGGGCGGGGGGGCGGTGGGGACACTTCTTTTTTGTTAATGACTATCTTTGTTTGTTTTTTGTTGATTAATAACTTTCCACAGATTCCACAGATGACATTCACCGTACATCAAAATTATGTCCGTGTAAACTCTGCAGCACTAATAATGTCGCGGCATTTCGGCACAACACACAGATACACACACGCTTAAAAGTTAAATAAATGAAAATAAACTAAAAGCACATCCCATTTAAATAGAAATTCAGTGTCCATTACACAGTAAAGAAAACCAAATAATAATAGAACTAAAATAATTATTAACTTGAAAAACAAACAAAAACAATCGTTTAGCACAACGCGCTCATAGGTAACCCGTCAGCAGTTACCGACTAGCACACACAACCACCCCCAGGAAGGCTAGCAGCGGACTGATCAGGGGGGGACCCTGTCATAATTGACGTGGAATTCCAATATTTCACGAAGATACTAGCACCATCTTTTAACATGTCCGCATAAATTTTAAAGATTCAGTTCGTTAAAATGACGTAGATGGTACCAGTGTGATGAATTATGTTTATAGTAATGTTTTATTTATTCATTTTTGTTAATTATATTTTAATAGTATTATGTTAAATATTGCCTTTAAACCTTTTTTAGATTTGGTAACACTGTAAGACGATGTTTGTTTACAGACTTTTTGGCGGGAAGTCAAACAAGGCGGCAATTTCAATTACAATTTTTTTTTTGTTAAAATAGTTCATTGTTTGTAAATACACGGTTAAATATATAACTAAGCTTACAACCATGAGCGTCACCAGTGGCGATAAAGATCTGTAGGATCCGGGTGAGAACCTTTTAAAAAAACGAAATTACAACACAACAACCCAAAGTTCCGACACCAATAAATATCAGACATACACAAAACCTAATTATAAAGTCCCGGCTTCGCACGGGGTACACAATTATTTATTTTTGGAAATTTGAATTGTTGTAGTGACATAACTACAATAGTTGGACATACGCTACCACGGCATTTTTTGTAGACATTATAATAGAATCATATTGTTGTACATTATTTTGTTCTATCGCTAATAGTTTCGGCAGCGCATTCGACAAAAGACATTTTAAGACTCATTTTTCTACACCTTCGGTTACCTACATTGTTCAAATTTTACCAAGGATCCATAATTTTTTCAAAATGAAATGTAGCCTATATCAAATTGGAAGAATGTAGCATTCTATTGGTGAAAGAATTTTTTAAATCGGCCCGGTACTTTTTTACATTACAAACATACAAAAATAGGTACAAATCTTTCCTCTTCATAATATTAGTATTTTTTTTTTTTTTTTTTT